AAATTATTCTCTTGCCTCAGCCTCTCAAGTAGCTGGGACTACAGGCACCTGCCACAACACCCAGCTATTTTCTTGTTGTAGTTATTGTTCTTTAGCTGGCCCTGGCCAGGCTTGAACCCACCAACCTTGGTGCATGTGGCTAGAGCTGTAACCACTATGCTATGGGCACCAGGCCTCTTGGACATGCTTTCTGCCAGCTCCTCCATGCTAGACCTCTTTATTCCTCAGGTCCAGCTGAGGTGTCACCTCCTCCCCTGACTGTCATCAATTGATTTCCTTCAGGACAGATTTTACCATTACATGTTTTGTCTGTCTCCCTATTAGGTAGGATACAAGCTCCATAAAGCAGATACTGTGTCTTCTCTGCCCCCCACCCCCCGCCAACTGTGTTCCCCAGAACTTAAAACAGTCATTGCACAGAATCAGCCCTCAATAAACCTTCCAGTAATGCAGTGAGAACAGCCAGTGGATTTATCCCTAGGCATGTGCCTATGATCACATATTTAGGGGAGAAGACAGTTGTCCTGAGGGGATGGGATCTCTTAGCGTGTAATGAGAACCCCAAAAGGACTTCATCCTTCAGCAGGTGGAGTTGTGCTGAGGGGGACCATGTTCCCAGCATAGATGGAGCTGTGAAGACCACTATTTCTTCTCTTTAGGATCAGTGAAGGGACATTTCTGAGAAGGGAATAGATGTGTGCTGAGTAGACCACAGTGCCCAGCAGACAATGAAAAAGAGTGGATTATGTTTCTCAGCAGCAATGGAGGCACGAAGGGCCGCATCTCTGAGTATGACATGGAGATGGCGACCAGGAAATAATAAGTTCACTTGCCAGGTAATCTGCCTACAGATCTCTGGACCACAGCGTGCCAAGGAGAACAAGAATGTTGGACAGAGAGGTCCTTCCCAGAACACTCTGGACAGAATTACAACAGTGATCCAGTCACAAAGCCACAGGCCCTCACAGCCGGGAATTGGCAGACTCAGGCTCCACCCACTCAGGAGGCTCTGTTCTCCAGCAAATGCCACCTCTGTCTCCTCACTCCATCCCTGAATAGGTTCACCCCCCTAGCTGACCCCTTCTCAGTCTGCAAACAAGGGTTGGTCCAATTCTTTCCTTCACTACAAGAAGTCCACAACAGCTGGCCCCTCCTGTGCCCGCAGGAGTCAGGCCTTTCTCCAGACCATGCCAGCTCCAGCGTCTACTCTCCCTTCCCCTGCAGACTACTGCTTTGACCTCGTATTGGCTGGATCCACCTCCGTCCGGAGACCCCTGCACAGTCCATCTCTGTCTAAGGACTTCTCCCCGTCTCAGGCTCCTCCTCTCATTGAAGGTCCCTCCCTCCTACACAGACCTCTAGACCCTATGCTCCTCTCAGACTCTGTCACTCAGTACTGGATTTCTCTGTCTCTGGGTTCCTATCTCTGCCTGGCTCCCACCTCTCCACTAGACTTGGCGCTCTTCTGAATCCCATTCCTTTCCAGCTGACTCCACCCCTCATTGATCCCAGACTCACCCCTCCCTCAGATTTTTGCCTTCTCGGATTTGTCTCTTTTTGTCTCCAGTTCCTATCTCTAGCTCTCCTTTCCCGCGGTCCTGCACCTGCAAAGACTGGGCCTACGTCCTCGCCATACCCTTATCATCGACGACTGTTCTCTCCCTGACCCTGCTTCTACGTCTTTCCTGAAGACTCGGCTTATCTTATAGGCACGCCCCCTCCATCTCAGCCCCGCCTCTTATCTAGACCTAACCCCTACCATCTGGCCCCACGTGCTCCCAGATGCTGACCCACAGTACTATCCCTGCCCCTTCCAAGGCCACACCCCTCAGAGCTCCCCAGACCCCGCCCCTCAACAGCTGACCCCGCCCCCACCCCGCTCGCGGGTCGCGCGCACCTTGGGCGTGAGCACGAGCGCGGCGCCTCCGTGCACGGCCACGATGGGCAGCGAGGTCTGCGCCGAGAGGAAGTCCAGGATGGGCGCCACGGCGGGCGCGCGCGAGTCGTCTTCGAAGACGACGCCGTGCACGCGCAGCCCCGACAGCAGGTCACAGAGCTGCAGCACGAGGCTGCGAGGGTCCGAGCCGTTGAGCACCAGCGCCACAGGCCGCACGTCCAGGCCCGGGCTGCGCACGGCCGCTGCCACGGCCGGCCCCAAGCGTGCAGCTTCAGCCGCGTACGCGGGCCCCGAAAACACAAGCGCCACGTTGAGCGGTCTCGCCCCGCCGGGGACCCCGCCGGGCCCGCCCGGCCCCGGTACTTCCTCCGGGAACGGGCTGGCACAGGCCAGCGCCAGTAGCAGCAGCATCTTAGCGGGGCCCCGAGGGCCGCGGGGGCCACCGGCACCGCGCATCGCCTGCGGGCCCCGCCGGGCGGCCTCTGATGCCCCGGGTCAGTAAGAGACGGGAGGAGAGGGAGGCGCAGAGAGCACAGACAGACACAGACGGGGAGACGCAGAGACAGCGAGACAAGATATAGAAAGAGATACACAGAAGAGGTACAGGGGAGACAGGAAAGGAAAAGGTTGGAGTGATGGAGACAGACAGACACACACGGAGGGAGGAAGACAGGTAGAGGGAGAAACACACAGGCAGAAGGACAGACACAGTGGAGGGAGGTGGAAGGGAGAGGTGGGGAAGAAACACCAAACACACAGGGAGAGGTGTGGGGAGTGAAACAGGGAGAGACACAGAGACAGGGAGAAGTGGAATATGGGGGAGACACAAAGATGGATGGGTAATGGAGTCAGAGGAAGATACAGAGGCAAGGGAAGAGAAAGAGGGAAAGAAATAGGATAGGGATGGGACAACAATGATATACATGGGACAGAGAGCGCCACAGAGATGGTATCAAAATAGGAGCAAGGAGAAAGAAAGGGAGAGGACAACAGCAACAGAGAAGTGGTTGGGGGAAAGATGGCAGGAATGAGAGAGATGGAAGGAGGAACGGAGACAGGGAGAAAAGGGAAAGAGAGAAGATGGTGTGATAGGAATAGGAAGTGAGGGATACCCAGGGAGAGAAGGATGGAGTGAGGAGAGATGCCGATATAGACGCAGGGAGGCAGGAGAGATAAGAGAAAGTTAGAGAGGAAAATGGAAAGAAAACCAGGAAGACAGAGACAGACCCCACAGCCACCAAGAGACACACACACACATAAGAGATGGGGAAACAGAATTGAGATTGAGGGAGGCAGTCAGAGCAGAGAGAAAATACAGGAAGACAGAAATAGCGAGGCAAGGCAAAGATCGAGACCCCCACCAGGGAGGTGCCCAGCACAGACATGAAAGGAAGGCGGGCAAGGCAAGTGGCAGGAGGGAGCAAAAATAAAAAGGAGAAAAAGGGAGGAAAAAAATGAGAAAGGGAAAAGGGGTCAGGTGTGTGGGGAGAGAAAAAGAAAGAGAAGGAGAAATTAGTGGGGCACCCTGACGAGAGAAAGTGTCCCTGTGACTTTACCCCTCACCCTGACCACAACCCCCAACCCATTTTTGCCCCTTTACTGTCCAGTCCTCCACATTCTCAATGAAAGTAAGAAAGAGTCATGGCCCAGGCTGGGATGCAGGGTTGGGGGCACAGCTGTAGAGAGCTGGGGGTGGGGGGACTCTCTGGCACCCAGCCTGGAGCAATTTAGTAAATTAGAGGAAATACAGCATCTCTTCCTGTGTTCCCTGTTGAATATGAGCCCCTTGGGGTGGTTGGGCTGGGAGCCCAGGCTCATGGGTCCTGCCTGGGTCTGAGGGAGGAGGGTATTGGGGGGTGTCTGGATTCCTGGTTCCCAGAGAGGGACTGGAGCCTGTGCTACGGGCTTCCTGAAGGGGTGAGGGTCCAGGCAGAGAAGGGTTCTCTCTTGGCTGTCAGTCTCCTGTCCAGTTGCCATGGTAGCACAGGCCCGTCCACCCCACAGCCACCCAGGGTAGGGGAAAGGCCCACGCCCTCTCCCCTGCCTAGAGGCTTCCACCCCTTCCCTCTGCCCCCCCCCCCATAAGAGATCCTTGGCTCTTGCTGTCTCCCACAGGAAAGGGCTGGGGGCTTCTAGCATGCCAGTCCCTCTCAAATCCTGGCTCCTCTTCCTCTTCGCCCCTCCTCTCATTGCCCTTCCCCAAGCAGCTGGCTCAATCAGTGCTCAGAATAACACCCCCCCCTCCGCCCCAAAATAACCCACAGCTGTGGCCTGGTCCCCGCGGGGTTAATTCTCAGTCTCCCCTCCCTTCCTGGTGGCTGCTCACCCCTCACTCCCTCTGCCTCTCTCAGACCCACCCCTGCCTGGCCTCTGCCCTTGGGGACTCCAGGGTCCTACCCGCTGCTGAGGCCCAGGAAGGCAGCCCTCCCCACCCTTCTCAGGAGATTAGATACCTGGTTCTCTCCCACAGAGAATGGGGAAGCTAGCCCCTTACCCCTCCAGGGACGGAGAAGTGGCAGCTCCAGTCCTCCAGGACTCAGGAGGCCCAATCCTCACAAACCATACTCTCAGGGATCACAGAGACCAGGCTCTTGTCTCCATCTCTTCATGCCACCCACCCAGGGCTACAGAGACTGGACTCCTATCCCTTGCCATGTCTGGGACTAAGGAAACTGAGCCCCCAGCCCTCTCCTCCCTCGCACATAGAAGCCCTATCTTCCAACTTCTCTCATAATGACCCAGGAGTCCTGCCACCAGCCCCTTCCTCCCCCAGGACTCCTGAGTCTGCTGTTCAGCCCTGTTCTTTCCCAGGACCCAAAGTCCCAGCCTCCTTCTACCCTGAGACTTGGAAATTCAAATGCCCAGCCTCTTCTATCCGCAGAAACCAAGAGTCCAGGTCCCTAGTTCCCCTCTTCCCCCAAAGACTCAGGAATCTGGGTTCCCAGCCCTACCCTCAGGGACCCCCTTTTTGTCTCAAACCCCATCAGTCCCAACATCCTGGGTGCCTCCTCAGCTTCTGTCTCCCCAGTTGCTCCACTCAAATCCTGTGCACAACATAGCCTGCTCCAAGCTTAGAAGAAGGAAGGTGCCAGAGATTTCTGGGGTGTCCCTATGTCCATTGCTCCCCCCAGTCCATCACAGAAGAGAGGCCACTTTGATCAACAGCTCCCCCACCTCGAGTCGTGCTGCAGACGGCATCCCATTACCTCTCCCCCACAATGCACACACAACACGGGCTCTCCCCACCCTAATCCTGGTTCTTAGAAGAGGCTGGAAGGGTATTCCAGAACCTTGAGGAAGGGGTGGCAGCTTAGGCAAGGCTTGCTAGGGGCCTGGATGCCCTCAAGGTCCTTGTCAG